CTGTTTTGTTCTGTCTTGCTTTAAACTAAGGTCTGCTCCTGTGAAATTCAATTCCAGGCAAGTTTGCTAATGAAGAACTTCTCTCCTATCTTGTGCTCCTGCTATCTCCTCTACAACTTCCTACCAGAGAGAAAGACACAAAGCTGTGTAAAAAAATAATAGTAACAGGAAATATACAACTCAAATCCAAAAAAAGAAACAATCCAATTAAAAAATGGGCACAGGACCTGAAGAGACACTTCTCCAAAGAGGACTTACAGATGACCAATAGACATATGAAAAGATGCTCAATGTCACTAATCACCAAAGAAATGCAAATTTAAATCACAATGAGATATCATCTCACACCTATCAGAATGGCTATCATCAATAAATCAACGAACAAGTGTTGGCACGGGTGTGGAGAAAAGGGAGCTCTCATACACTGTTGGGGGAAATGCACACTGATATAGCCACTATGGAAAGCAGTATGGAGTTACGTCAAAAAATTAAAAATGGACCTGCCTTATGACCCAGCGGTTCCACTTCTGGGAATTTATCTGAAGACATCCCAAACACTAATTTGAAAGAATATATGCACCCCTATGTTCATAGCAGCGTTATTTACAATAGCTAAGTTCTGGAAACAGCCCAAGTGCCCATCAGTAGATGAGTGGGTAAAAAAGCTGTGGGACATTTACACCATGGAACACTAGGCTGTAAAAAATAAGGAAATCTTACCTTTTACAACAGCATAGATGAACCTGGAGAGTATTATGCTAAGTGAAATAAGCCAGTCAGAGAAAGGCAAGCACCATATGATTTCACTTATATGTGGAATCTAATGAAAAAACTAAACTAACAAAATAGAAACAGACTCATAGATACAGGAAACAAACTGACAGCTATCAGAGGGGAGAGGGTTGGGGGGCTGAGGAGTGAAAAAGGTGAAGGGATTAAACAAACAAACAAACAAAACAACAACCTCATAGACACAGACAACAGAGGGAAAGGGGGTGGGGAGATAGGAGAAGATAAGGGGGGATAACTGGTGACAGAAGGAAACTTTACTTTAGGTGGTGAGCACACAATACGATATACAGATGATGTATTATAGAGTTGTACACTTGAAACCTACATAATTTTAATAACCAATGTCACCCCAATAAATTCAATAAAATTTTTTTTTTTAAATTAAAGGAAAGGAAAACAGAGAAAAAATGAGTATGCAAGCTCAGGAACAAAGTCAAAGAGGTCTCATCCTCTTTCTAATTATCCCTAAAAACAACTGTCTACACATAGGGTGCCCAAGACAGAAGTAGTCTATCCACATGGAGACCAACCATGTAAAGTCTCAGCTTCCCCACAGCCCCAGGGAGCAGGGAAGGAGGTAAGCCATCTCTTCTGATGGCCCAAGCCTCATCATAAAGAGAGTTTTCCGTTCTCCCCCTCTATAAGACTGCATCTGCCTTACTGCCAACCACAGAGGAAATTTCATTACCAAAATAAATCAGCACTGCACTTGACCTTGCTTCTCCCACGGCTCAGGATTAGTGACATCACAACGCACTCTACAAATGCTCAGAAATATCAGAATAACCCCCTCAAGTCAAAAACACTTGGTATTTCACTAAAAGGCATTAAATTATTTTGATTTTACTCCATGGAATCCAAAATGCTTTCAATGTTTTCATTTTCAAAATGCTTAAGAGAGAAAGTATGCGCTCTGGACCTTAAGAAACCTCAACTCCTAGTCTGGTTTGTGTCCTGATTCACTTATGGTAAGATGGGGAACAGGCCACAAGCCAAGGAACAGTAGCTCTGGCCCACACTGCTCACATGACTCAATCCCCAAGTGGCTGGGGCGTCACTGTGGAGGCTCCCAACTCAACCTTTTCTCGTCCTCAAAATCACAAACAGGTCACAGGCAGCTTCAGGGCACGTGGAGCAGTTCCTCTTAAGGGGTCCAGTCTCCATCTCCCATGGCCCGGCTAACTACCATATTTCCTTCCAAAGCAGTAGTAGAAAGAAAGATCCTCCATGCTGAGAGGAAGTTCAAGGGGATGATTTCTACCCCAAGGCAGCTGCCTGGGGTGAAGCGACCTCAGGGCCACTGCAGCAAATGAATCTCTTAAACCCTCAAATCAGGACGCACAACCTTGCAGTTATAATTCCTAATGCTGCTCGCTCCAAAAGATGGTCCCATTTTTAAATCAGGTTGGTCACCAACACAGTCAGTAAATGTAAGGCTGATTTAAGGGGGAAAAGAACTGTGCACCAAGAGCATGTGCTCTCAGGAAGCCCCCAGAATCTGACAACCGGGGGGTATTAAAGACTTGCTCCCACAACTAACACATCTGTCCATGAACTGATCGCTCTTACTGAGGTACAAGTCGCAAAATCACAGCATCACAAAATGGCAAAGTCCCAAGGACCCATGGACATCTTCTACTTTACCTTTTCTTTTTTTTTTTGCACGGGAGAACAACTGAGATGCAGACCAAAGGTAGGATTGTTTGAGTTCACTGTTGGTAGATGACCCAAATCCGAAGCTCCTCACAGTTCTATTTCCTAGCCAGCTGCCCCTGACATCCAATTACCAACAAGAGCTCTTACACAATTATTTTCACCAAAAAATTATATTTATGATGAAATTATCGGCAAATTGGTTACATCTACCATGGCTGCTACCTAAAAGGTACACTCAGCGGAGAAAACAAAACTGAAGTTGAAAAGTTAAACTTTTGCATTGCATTATGTTCTCAGTCCTGACCTCTACAGGGACAGAGTTTTCCCTAGTCTTCCTTGTGAGAAAGAAAAGACTGTAGCTCTCCCCCACCACGATTTCCAATACTAGGCCAATATTTCAGGTTACAACAATTTCTGGGTAAACAAATGGGAGCTGTACAAGGTAAAGTGGCCTGAAGCCACCTTCCCTACCTGTAATAAAATCAGTTTCAAAGAAGGCTCAAAGATTAAAGTGCTTTCCTCTGCCTTTAAAATGGGGAGGTTTCATTTTTAGGTAGGAAGACAAGACCCTGAAAACATATACCCAGGCTAAGGATGAGCAGATCAGGAAAGATACAAACATTCAGAAAATCAAAGGCCCTGAAATATTCTACCCACAGCAGCTGAGATGTTTCATCCAGAGTCCATTTCAGCAGACCCAAAGAAGCTTCTCTGGCAACAAAGGATTACATGAGAGCATAAAACAAATGCTGAAGGTTTGGGTTCTCTCTTTCCACCCCCTGTGTGTGTGACACTGACGGGCTTAGAGACTCCAGTGTTGCAGAAAGCAAAATTTTCCTTGTTTCCATTACATCATCCAAGCTGGAGC